ATGTTTCAAATAAATTGTCATGCCAAAAGTGAGAGAAGGTGAAAAAACTATGTTCATTATTTGAAGCAATAAAAGCAACAGACTCCAGTGTTTGTTTCCTGGAGGAACAATGTCGCCAAATAACAGTGGGATGTTTTTTACAAGACACAATGTCTGAATAGAATTCAAACCAATGCCATTACCAGCACTCTCTAAGATAACCTTTGTGGGTCGGTTTTTACGTTCTAAAAATCCATAATCAAAAGAATAAATTCTGGAAAGCAAATCCTGTTCAGATAAAAAGTTTTGTGTGAGATATTGAAAAAGCAGTTTAATTTCGTACTGAGCCACACCCTCAAGAAGATCATGCATAATATCAAATGAGTAATTATTCGAAACATGAAAGTATGTCAGTGTGTTAAGAGCAGAATTTTTTTTTAAGCCATACAGTGACTTCAATTGTGGGTTTTCTTGGAGAGACTGACAATGCATCTTAAAGATTTCTTTTCCACGAACAATTACCTTCGGATCATCCTCACTGTATACTGTCTGAGAATCAGCCTTTTCAATCAAACAAAGGCGGCAGAAATGATGGCCACTAAATGACTCATTAAAACCAAGAATTGTGTGCATCCCTAGATTGTCTCCAGTGATCTGTGAGATGGTTCCATATATCTGCTCATCACAAAATGGAAGACTTAGTCCTTGGCTTTCCAGTTTTTTTATATCACTTATCAATGGTTCCAGTATAGCATCAAAACCATACTTATTCAGATCTTGTGTGTGAAAGAGTGACAACAAATGAATGTTCATCAGAACAGCATTAAATTTAGGGGGCAAGTTTCTCACAATAAAATACAGGCAGCCAATTTTGTGAATTCCCCGTTTGGAGCCAAGGGGATTGGCCGTTTCAAAATCATCATAGTAAAGTTGGATTTGTAGAGCATGTTTCTTAGTCATAAACAAAGGGTGGGTTTTAAAATAGCTTCCATCACAAAAGTCTTCATAGATATCAGGCTCTGATCGATGCTCTTTCTTTAGGAGATCACAAATGTCAGAATTTCTGCACATAAATTTTAGCGTTTCTAAAATTGGCACATATATAAAAGTGTCCTTTACTGGTACCTGATCATAAGTATTGGATTTCTGATTTAGTCTGTTGTCATATCTCACTCCAAGTGTTAGTTCAACTGGTTCAACAACTCCCCATTTTTGGCTAAAGTATTTATTTCGTTTCCATTCTGTATTTAAATTTGTGAATGGGTTTTCTAAATTTTCAAAAGCACAATTTATCACAATGTGCAAGGGTCACTTGTAGGTAAAGCAGAAAGGATGTTGTGCTTTGCTTGTGAGCGAAGCTCATCTGTTAGTTCTTCTAAATCACCTACAATTGAAGACACAAAACCAGTTGAAATCCCACTCCCTTGTAATTTGGATACAATGGATGCACACAATTCTTTGGTCAGATCTTTACGAAGCCCTGTGTCACTGTTCTCAGAGGAAGCAGTGGAACAAGTAGATTGATCCTGGGGATTCATTTGGTCTTCCAAAGTATGTACTTGAGATGATGTTGCAATTGGTTCACTTGAGGAACATGCTACAACTGAAGTGCAAAGAATTTGCTGAACATTACTAGGAATATTATTAAGGTGCTTTCGGAAACCTGCATATGTTAGAAACTGATGCCTACAACCATGTTGAGAACATATCAATTTGAATTTAGGTCCAGGATAGTAACCATGTTCAACTCTTAAATGTGAAATCAACTCCTGGCTGGTGGGATGTGATATCTGACAAATAAAACAGATTAGCATGTCTAAGCAGTAGACTGCTTAAGTTAAAGTTACTGGCAGGTTGAGCAGTTTGGCTCTCAAGTCTCTTACTCTGGGTGACTCCTTCATTTTCCCCACATCAATGTTGTACAATGTTGTCTGTAGGAAGGTGTAAAAGTTCACAAGTGCACCATCATAAGACAAATTAAACACAAAGTGAGCCTTGAACAGTTCATCAAATGCCCCAAGGAATCGGCTTGCCTGGCAAGGGATGAGATGCATGTCCATGGCGATGTAGAAGCTGTCAATCTTACTTTGTTTACGTCCAACAGCAAGGAGGTACGGATGCTGACGTTTATCACTGCTGAGGTGCTCCTCCAAACTGCAGCATGACTAGGGTTAAGATACAAACACTGAGCATTTGGCACACGCAAGTATTTAAAACAGAAACAAGTAATTAACCATCCATCAACTACTATTGATGTTCTCATATTGGTGATGCCCAGCAGGACTTGATTTTGTTCTCATCCAAATAAGTAACAGACATGTACACAGCTAAGAAGTTACAAGTACCTTGTGAAAGATTACAAGTCTTTCAGCTGCATCACTTGCACTGATTTTTGGAGACTTCTGTCCTGGTGGTGGCGGAAGAAGATGTAACAATAACAACATGGAGGCCATTTCTTGGTCGCAGACTGTGGGCAAAAAGATACAGGAATTAATCTAATGAAAATTCAAATTACTTTTCACATTCAATCTATCTGAATCTATAAATGTTTGCTCATTTACAGGATAAACACCACAACTACCTCAAAGGGTGTTTACTTATTTAACTTTGTCAACAAAATAACTAACTGCAAATAAAGTTTTTAAAGCAAAAATATAAAATAAAACTCACTTTTTGTCTCATCAAGATCACATCCAGGGGGACTTTCTGCTATTAGCACCAACTGACTCAACTCCGGTGTTAAAGTGAGCTGCTTGGCCTCGTTTATTACATTTGGCTTGAAGAACAGGTCCCATTTCTGAAGCAGCCTGGATGATGTCTCAGCATCAAATAGGAGAGTGAAATCTTGATCCACCTTTAAGAAAAAAGTTATCAGACTATAGACTATCTTTATTTTCAAGCCACTAAAAGCACGTCATTCCAAACTTACCAATCCCTTTGTGTCTAGGAATCTTGGGAAGATGGAGAGGATATCAGTACTTCTGTCTGCATCTTTAACAAGCCTCTGTCGATGCTTAAAAGTCTCCCTCATCTTTTGTAAGATCAGAGACTTGTCTGTGGTATGGTTAAGCAAAGAAATGGCCTCTTGGTAAGCGTCCCCATCAAGTTGCCCTTCTAAATTAGTAGCCCTCTGGCATTCTGGGCCTCCTTTGGAACTATAGAGGACTTTCTCAGAACTGTTTGGTGGCAAAGTAGAGCTTTGACGAGACTTCCTCTGGACTGTTTTTAGACGCCAGGCGATGTATCCTGTGTTACTTGTGGCATCGTAGAAGTGTTCCTGAAATTAAATTAGGATTTTTTTTAGGCTTATTATCCCCCCAACATGATAATGTCTTACAAACAATTAAAGTGTCATAACATGCAAGTATGACATGAAAGTACCATGCAAATTATAACAGTAACACTTACATAGCCTTTTTTGGAATATGGATCCTTGAGGGAAGGAAACAGCGTTACTATCCCAAGAGCATACTGTTCTCGGATAGCTTTAGTAGGAAGGTTGCTGACAGGAGATATCAAATTAGTAATCTCATATATACAATGGCCATATAGTCATTTACTGCCAAATTAAAACAAACAGCAAGACAAATACCCATGTGTATCGATCATGTGAGCCACCAGTATGTTAACCATTTGTCTTCTTGTGGGATCTTTAAGGGTTTCCTTTGCTTGATACTGCTGTAGTACCTCTTCACCACCAGACTTAGACTTTAGCACACCCTCAACCAACTAACAGAAAATAAAAGCATAAGAGAACATTCATAAATTTCTGCAGACTGAACCAGAATGTTGTTTAAGAGGCACAGTATAAATAAGCTTTGTTTTGACCTGTTTTGCAAACATCGCATCAGACGTTGTGTCAAATCTTTGTCGTTTGTTCAGGATCTCATCTAGGATTACAGTTGAGGCACCTGAGCTGTAACTTGATTCAGATGTCTGAGTCATGTCTGACAACGCGTCTGAAAATTGTAATGGAACAGAAAATATTGAAAGAGTACACACATTTTAGTTATCAGCACAAAACTGTCAGAAAAGAACAGAAGAACAAAATAGTTTTTACCATTTTTTTTTACATTTGAATACAACTTACCATCATTTGAAAAAACAGTCAACACCACATTGCCTTGTTTTACTACATCACTGAAAATGTCTCCATCAACTTCAGTCCCTGTTGAATCTTTGTATATAACTTCTGCATCTGGTGGCAGGCAAAACCTTTCAATGACTGGAAAAAATAAAATAAATCCGAAAGTGATTTTTAAGTAAACACCCTTCATTGCTTTGCATGGAATGACATTGATAAACCAGGGGCTGTGGGAGAAGCTGTGGTGTGGAGCTAGGGGCAGTGGAGCCAGAGAACTTGTGAACTATGGAGGGAACAAGAGATAGGGAACTATGTCACAGAGACATAACATAAATACAGAACTTTGCTTAACTTAACACACCTTGAACTTGACATGTGGCATGACTTAGATTTCACTCATTACACGACTGACAAGAGAGGGAGGCTTGCAGAGCCGGCCCCTGGATCCTAACAGACAGTATGAGTTACATATCAACTACTAATAGGCACAAAGAAGTAAGATGTGGCTCATTTTAAAGAAATACTTAAGAATTTAATCACTTGATAAACGCTAATGTATTATGAAACTACAAACTGAAGCTTGTAGAACAATCTTTTGAATAGAAAAGTGAAAAACAAACCTTTTTCATGGAACTGCAGAAAGTCCAATCTTCCTTCATCATCATCCACCTTTACATATTTTTGCCGTTCCTTGTAACTGACCTGGATCAACATTTTAACTGGGAAATGCAAGAAAGTTCCACAATGTACATTAGCATTTAACTTGACCAGCACTCACACTTAAACATACCTAAACAAATAATTTCTGTTTGCGTTGTTGCGCGGTGCTCTGAAACTACTGTGTTCCAACTAGGGGTGGGACCATGTACACGAGTACTCGATTACGGCCGCCGCCCCCCCACCGCCGCCGCCCCCGGGCGGCGCCCACTC